TACACGAAATGAATAAATAAATATTGTGAATAAACAAAGTCAAAATGTAAATTTGATGTTATAAGGGTATTTAGATTGTCGTATGCCTTGATGGCAACGGCTGTAATATATGACCGGCAAGAGGAGAGGATATTCGTAGGTTACCAGTATTTGATCACAGTTGTCTTCGAAGCATTACTGGTATATCCTGGGACTACCGAGTAATTAATGCAGTTGTTAGGAAACGAGTACTAGGTAAGGATGGCAAATCAATTAATGAAGTAATGAAACTTTATCAGTTGAGATGACTAGGACATGTGTTAAGTATGGGCAACCACACACTGCTCAGACGAATGATGTTTTATGGTGTAGGAGTAGGTTGGAAGAAATCTAGGGACAGTCAGACCAAAACATTGGCACAAATCCATGAAATCACTTACAAGTGAACTGAGTGAGCCATGTTGGTAGGTGTAGACTACCTGGTTGGAATCAGCTAGATGATAGCGACCGATGGTTATAGACCTTGAATGACATGGCTGAAAATCGTTTGCAATGGAGCAGGTGCATCCACTCTTTGAGTTCTCCCAAATTCGAATCTTCTGAATTCTTCATATCCCCTTCTTTTTTTCTCTTTCCAAATGTATTTCACTGGATTATACTCTTTGAATAACATGTTCGAACCCTAGTGTTTTCGATGACTATTTATGCTTTTACTACTTCTATCACTGTGGTATTTGAATCGACAATTGTTGTACATACATACGTACAAAGTTCTACGTTGTTACTGACTGACTGAATCATGCATTTACGTTTTATGATATTTATATAAGAAAATTAAAGGTTAAACTAGACAAAATGGAACATACGAAACCAACAAGATAGTATAGAACAACGATACGAAATATACCACTCTAAATATTAAGATTAGCTGGGTATTATTATAGTGGATTTGTTGTAAGTACATAGTGTTTTTTAACATACAGGCTGGACGAAGTTTATCAGAATTATGTGATATATTTACGCAATACATCGAGAACAATCTGATCACACCTAATATACTTGTTAAGAACATTTATATGGGAACACATAGCAAAATGATTGCAGAAACAAATGGATTTCAATGGTCAAATAAGATCACACGATAGACAGACATCATCCTCCATTGTGAAACATTTGATTGAGACTGATTATAAGGTTGACATCAAGTCACTATTTGTAGTGTTATACAAATGCCTTCAAGAACGTATACTAAGGTTTATTGAAGCCTTGGCTATATGGAAATTGAAACCTCCTTTATGTGTTGAAAAACAATTTGTCCTTACACTTAACCTACCCTGGTAATACTGATTTATTATCAAGAGTGATAAGCACATGTGTTTTTGTGTACTTTAATATTTTCTCTCTTTGTTAAGGGTTACCTTTAACCTGTCTAATTGACCTTTTAATTTTTCATATATAAATGTTCTTAACAAGTATGTAAGGTGTGATGTATTGCATTAACGAAATTTATCAAAGGGACTAATTGTTTTAAACACAGACTGGAGTTTGTTATGAAATGTGGCTAACTAAACATGATTGCCTTAAACTATCTGACTTTCTTAGTAATGTACTAGTGTAGTAAACGAGTACTTAGTTGGAGTAATTTAATTTACTGATTAGTGCAGAACTATATAGTGCTTTCGTAATCACAATTGACTGATCACTAGGTGATGATCAATGTCATGTGTGTCAAGTCCTTATTTAGTGCACATCGAATGCTATCGACCATGTGCTTTCGTAAAATACGAAAGTCATATATTAAATACATTGTTTACACATCTTCCTTCAGTTATCCTGTACATACTTCTTCATTCTTCCAATTCAGTTTTTATTCCTATTCCTCTCTGTTTCCTTTTCTCTTTCCTTTATCTCAATCTTCAGCTGGCAAACATTCTACTTGCTATTGCTGCTACATACTACTTATATCTGTCAGCATAAGCAGTATACACCATACTAGTATGTGTTACAGTTGAATGAAAAAGCTTACAGAAACTGTACAGTTTAAAGATAGTTCTTTTTCCTCATAGATTACAAAGTAATCAGTAACGAAATGCCGTTTCGTCTGTGCATGAAATCTTCAGCAACACAAACTCATGACGTTGTCATAGATCGATTCTAGAACATTTTAGATTACCTTACAAATATGTTATTCACTTTAGATCATTGAATTGTTTGTTATCCAGTGTAATATATTGATAACTTCAATAAACTTGGGTCATATTATCATTCTGTTCATCAGTTTATCAGTTGAAATTAGTTTCCAACATAAATCATTTTCAAATAGATAATAAGTAGTATGATAATTTGCAAATAATTTATTTTCTTGAATTCTTTTTCAGTTTATTTTTCGAATTTGATTTGAAGGATTATACCATTGATCAATGTGCTTTGAATATAAATCGATGTGGAGAAACAACTCGAGTAAGTTGTTAGAGATTGTCAAGTTTTATTTTCATTTCACTAAAAATATCATTGCTAAATTTCTTAGAGAATTAGTAGTAGTAGTAGTAGTAGTAGTAGTAGTAGTAGTAGTAGTAGTAGTAGTAGTAGTAGTAGTAGTAGTAGTAGTAGTAGTAGTAGTAGTAGTAGTAGTAGTAGTAGTAGTAGTAGTAGTAGTAGTAGTAGTAGTAGTAGTAGTAGTAGTAGTAGTAGTAGTAGTAGTAGTAGTAGTAGTAGTAGTAGTAGTAGTAGTAGTAGTAGTAGTAGTAGTAGTAGTAGTAGTAGTAGTAGTAGTAGTAGTAGTAGTAGTAGTAGTAGTAGTAGTAGTAGTAGTAGTAGTAGTAGTAGTAGTAATATTTATATTTACTTACTTTCGCCTGTTACTCTCAATTGAGCAGAGGCGGCTGACCATCATTCTCCAACCCAATCTGTCCTGGGCCTTCCATTCTAGTTCTATGCAATTTTCGTTTATTTTTCTCATGTCTGTCTTCATTTCTCGGCGTAACGTGCTCTGTAATCTTCCTCTTTTCCATTGGCCTTGGGGATTCCATGTGAGGGCTTGTCTTGTGACGCATTTCGGTGTTTTCCTCAATGTGTGTCCTATCCACTTCCAACACTTCTTCCTGATTTCTTCCTCTTCTGGGATCTGGTTTGTTTTTTCCAACAGTTGGTTATTGCTAATAGTGTACAGTCAACGGATTCGAAGTATTTTGCGTGGACAACTGCTAATAAACACCTGCATCTTCTGGATGATTGTTTTCGTAGTTCTCCAGGTTTCTGTCCCATACAGTAGAACTGCTTTGACTTTTGTATTGGAAATCCTGACCTTGGTGTTGGATGACAGTTGCTTTGAGTTCCAGATGTTCTTCAGTTGTAAATATGCTGCTCTTGCTTTGCCGATCCGCGCCTTCACATCTGCATCAGACCCACTCTGTTCATCAATGATGCTGCCCAAATATGTAAATGTTTTTACATCTTTCAAATCTTCTCCGTCAATTGTGATTGGATTGGTGCATGCTGTGTTGTATCGGAGAATTTCACTTTTCCATTTGTGTATATTGAGACCTAATACTGTTGAGACTGCTGCTACATTGGTGATTTTCTCCTGCATTTGTTGTTGCGATTGCGATAGGAGAGCCAGATCATCTACGAAGTCTAGATCGTCCAACTGCATCCTAGATGTACACTGTATCTCGTGTTTCCCTTCAGATGTTGACGTCTTCATGATCCAGTTGATCACCAGGAGAAAGTGAACGGGTGAGAGTAAACAACGATGAATATTTGTGTAAGTTATCAAATACTATAAAGTTAGGACAAGATTCAATAATCATAAACTTTCAAATAGAAATGAACCATTTTCTTTTATCATATTTAATTGTTAAATCTAATTCAAATAATCATAGATAACTTATCAGATGAATACTGATATGTATATATTTATTGTATATTGTATCAAATGTATCATGGATACCTCAATGATTTGATGGATCCATTTCGATCAAGGTCATTAGTTATAGACGGTTCAACTAATATGACTATCGATAATAATTTATCATAAATATCAACAAATACTATTACAGATACCATCTTCTTAGATAAGTCTATTGAAATTACTTTATTCTAATTGGTGAGTTCAATGATCCAAACAAAACACAATGTTCATTCATACATAAATTATAATATTCAACTATTATTATTATTATTATTATTGACACTAAATAGTATTTCTTTTCTTTTACTCTTATAATCATGACAAATAAATTGAATGTTAAGTAAGTAGTATATTTTAATCAAAATAAATTTATTAATTTAATAGTTGAATTCATAAGTCAATTGAAATTGAACTATGATGGCAAATCTGGAAACATTGAGCGGTTGTTTCGTTCGAGTAGGAGACAACTCAACAGTGCACATTCACAATCCCAACTCGTGAGATTTGAATCCAAAACCTGTCGGTCTCGTCTACGAGCGCTCAATCACTAGCATATAGAGCCGGTATCCAACGGTGTTAATATTTAACCTTCTCTCGTTTTAATCATCATATGCTCATTAGTGATGGTCTCCACAACGTATTTCCAGGAGTTGTAGTGTGAAGCCATGATCAGTGGAATTCAACCAGATCTGTTGTGAGATAATAACTCACTGAAGACAATAGTGGATGTGTCTCTCAATTGCGTTAGTTAGACATGAACACTGTTGAATGCTGGCTTAGTGGTCTATTGGTTAAGCGTTCACGCCAGCGATTGATATGTCCTGGGTTCGAATCTCATGAGGCGGGATCATGGATACACACCATTGAGGAATCCTATACTAGGACGAAATGGTCATCCGGTGTTTCCACCTTTTTGCACGCTGATCTATCTTCAATTAATTCATGAATTCATCTAATAAATTCTTGTATTATCCTCAAAAATCCTTCTCTGATTATAATTCAATTGATATTTGTTTATATATTTTCTTATAGATCTATTATCATTCATCTACAATCATATTTTATCATTTGCTCCTATTTTATCGGATCATTATTATTATCATCATCAATAATGATAAACTGTTCAATAAATCAATTAGTTACTGGGCTATCAATGAATTATACCTTTGAAAATGATTCCTTTAAACAAGTAATCAATAATCAATAAATAATCGATAATATTTTTTTCCTATAAAAAAAAATTTTTTTTAGTTAAAACATTCTCATTATCTACAAGTGAACCAATTCAATCAATTGAATTCAATTGAATTAATGAATAGTGAAAAAATTCTATTAACATCCGATATACCATTGGTGAATTGTGCTTTATATTAATGATGAATTCAATACAGCATTTAGATACCATGTTTCCAATTAAATTTTATGGTGAATATTATAAAACAGTTAGAATATTATCAAACGGTTAGTAACATCAGTTTATTTTTTTTGGGGGGGGGTGGGTTTGAGGGTTGAGGTGGGATTGGGTGGGGTGGGGTGGGGTGGGGTGGGGTATATGTTTTGTTTCATTATCATTGTGTTAACTGTTTATTCATTGAATTTATTTCATGTTTAGTTAATGAAATGGATTCTATAAATTGAATTTCATTGAATGTAACGAAGATCCATCTCTTTTCTATTTATACATTAAGACTGATACTTATATGTATAGTCTGTAAAGAGTTTGAATTATATTTTTTCTTATTATGAAATCATACGGTGACGCAATTTTGTGAATTGGTTAAAGTTAGACATGAACACTGTTGAATGCCAGCTGGCTCAATGGTTTAATGGTTAAGCGTTCACGCGCTAGACTGTTAGGTACTGAGTTCGACTCTCGTGAAGTGTGGTCATGGATGTACACTATTGACAAGTCCTATAATAGGACGAAACGGCAACCCAGTGCTTTCAGGTTTTCCATGGTGGTCTAGCATCAATTGACACATGATTTCAACAATTGAAATTATAATATATTTTAAATTGAGATTGTACTTATCAGTCAGTGGATTATGAAATCTCTTTAGGGAATGATGACAATATTCTGTTACTAAATAGAAAATGCTCTTGTAGTCTTGAAATTGTATTCCCAATCTAGTCATTTATAAGGACTGATAGGTCCTGGGTTCGAAACTCGCGGGGCGGATTAATGGTTGTAGAATGCTGAAGAGTCTGATACTAGGATGAAATGGCGGTTCACTGCTTCCAGGTTTTCCATAGTGATCTAGCTTCAATTGACTCATGAATTCGACTAGTGAATTACATATAAGTCATTTTATCATTATCGCTACTCAGTTGATGAGCTAATTATACATTATGAGTTTTAAGTTTTGGTGATCACACTTGATTGTTGCAATGTGTATAGACACTATGCAATTATATATGATACTAAATACGATCTCAATGCATAAGGCTATACTTTATTTCTTTTTTTTTCTATATGAGCCTTGTATTCCCTTAGTAATCGTTTTATACAGAGAATAGATCATATTCGTTTAGACTTATTTATTGTAACAACGAATTGTAAAACCTTCTTAACTAAAAGTCCTTTCATAATATAAATTATCACATAAACATATGGGCTGAATGGTTTGGTCGTGGAGCTTTCATCATTCTATCCAGCTCATAGAACAAAACTTCATTAAAATCATCCAATTGAGTTACAAATCTTATCCACCATTCTTTTATGCTATGAGATTACCGACTCTCATACCCGACCCTCCTCCTCCTCCTCCTCCTCCTCCTTTACCTGGGTTTAAGATTGGCAGTAACTTTAGAAGAGTTATAGAAGGCCTTATATTCACCTAGTATTCATTGTTAATTACTACTTACAAGTAAGCCTTCTTAAATATTCAATGAAAAGTTTTATAAATTAAAATGTCTTAAGCATTCAAACGGATCTAACCAAATGAAATTTGCTTAATTAATAAAACGTGTCACCAGATGACTTGTCAACTTATAAAGTTAAAGAAATACCTTCATTATTATTATTATTTAACATGATTATCATGGTATTTCATAGTGAAAATAGTTCTAGTTAACATCAAAAAACAAAAAAAAAACAACCAAAAAAACAATGGTGCTAGTGGTAAACTAAACTATTGAATTTATTTGTAACCAGTTGCCAAACATAGTTGGTGTAAACAAAGATGGATATTGGCTAACAGTGGAATCTAATAAGCACGTTTCGTCCTATTTGAGACTCGTCAGCTGGATGTACCAACATATCAATCACTATCCACCTTTGCTTATAAAGCTTGGGAATTAAGGCAATATCGAGGCATACGCACAGTATGCACATATGCCAATAAGAGATTGATCAATTGCAGTCTTAAATCTAAATGAGAAGATTCAAGCAAAACAATATCAAGTGAATGTAGTTGGTGTAAATTTTAAAATGAATAGTTTTTCATTACTACATAAAAACTAATATAACTCTTAGATAGTTGAATCATTTTCAGTTCAATATTAGACTAGCATTGAAAACATGGAAGCATTGAATGACTGTCTCATCCTAGAATGGGACTTTAAAACAGTGAGCATTTATGATCACACATATGGGAATTGAACTCAGGACCTCTATTTTGGAACGTGAGAATTTTAACTCTAAACTAGTGAACCGAAATCAAACAGTGTTAATGTTTAACTCGAATCAGTGCATGACTTTGAACAACCATCTTCCATTGTTATCAGTAAGTAACTGCTTGAATGAGCTGTGGAGTCCCATGTTAAGATCAAATGTCCATCCAGTGCTTGCAGGTTATCGATGGTGATTCTTATTGACCTTTATGAATAAAGGATTGAACTAGACTGAAAAAAAGTTGTATGAATTGAAGAACTGATTCATTCAACTATCAGTCTATTCTTAATCAATCGAGTCAGTCTTAAATTCTTGTGCTTCATTAAAATTACGAAACATTATGATAGCTTCCACTGAACTATTTCTAGCACATACAACATTTTGTTAAACCATCATTGTAAACCAGGAAGTATTGAACGGTTGTTTCATTCTATTGTGGGACTTCTCAACAGTGCGTATCCACAATCTCGCTCGCGGGATACGAACCTCTAGAGCCTTCAGCCTTGAGCGCAAGGGCTAAACAACTAGATCACTGAGCCAGCGTCCAATGGTGTTAATGTCTAACTTTAATCAATCCACAAAATTACGCGACCATCTTCGATTGTATGGAGGTAGATACCTGTCTCTACCCGACATGGATTATCTATTTCTAACACATACAACTCATTTATTAAACATTAGGAATTATTTATTTATTTTGTTTTACACTAATTCAAGGTATTATAAATATTGTGGAGTCAAATCTTGGAAAATTATCTGGAAGCATTAAAGTATTTTATGGAGTTTGGAAAACGGGTCAAGTGGATATTATTCATAATGGTGAGTGATTCTACTATTGAAAGTTTAATTAGCTTAGAATAACTTTAGTCATCGGATATCAGTCAGTCAGTCAGTCCGCTACAACGTAGGCCCAGGCACATATATGCATCGGTTCAAGTTCCCATACCTCATTAACACAACAAGATGGACACCGGATTCATAGAAGTAGTTAATTCAATGGTGGTAATATATAAAAGAAAGTTTGCATATAAAGACATAGTACAGGGAGAAAGAATTAGTTCGTAGAAAGAAAGTTATGAAGCAATTTTAATCTCTTAGTTTAAGAGAAGACAGAAGTCATTGGATATAATTATTATTTAATGGAAAACTTTATATATTTTTATACGTAATTGGGGTAAAATGTACGTTTTTTTGGTGTCGAACAGTCATATCCATAGGAACGATTAAATTTATGAATAAAGTTGTAAAGTTAATCTTCTTAATAGTTGAGATCATGAATCAATCGAAGCTAGACTACCATGTGAAACCTGGAAGCATTGGATAACCGTTTCGTGCTAGCATGGGAACTCCACGTTCCTGCCTCGTGAGATTCGAATCCAGGACATGTCAGTCGAGGGCATGAACGATTAACCACTAGACCACTAAGTCGGCCATCATCCAACAGTGTTCATGTCCAACTTCAAACAATCCACGAAATTAAGCGACACATCCACCATTGTCTTCAGTGAGTTACTATCTCACAACAATTGACTCATGATCTCAACTATTAAAATTACTATAATATCCATAAAACCCCTTCTAATATTAATTTATTTCTGAAATGAATTACTAATAATCCCATTCACTTTTATTGCATTTATAGATAAGTTTCTAACGGTAAGATGGCCTAATCTTAACATTTACAATGCACATGGAAAAGAAATGAAAGAACGTGGTATGTAATATTCTTGGGTACACTTTATATATATATATATATGGTGTGTGTGTTTATGTGTGTTATGAGTATGATGTGAAAGTTTCAACCTACTTGACACTTCTTAGCAGGCTTGTCCGAAATGTTGAAGATAATGACAATTTGAATAAATGATAACCAATTTGACTGTTTAATGTATTGACTAATATCTATATATTTCAATCGAGTCACTTGTGAGATAGTAACTCACCGATCACAATGGTGGATGTGTCGCTCAATTTCGTGGATGAATTGAAGTTGGACATTAACACTGTTGGATGCCGGATCAGTGATCTAGTTGGTTAAGTGACTGACGCGATACTGATAGGTCCTGGGTTCGGATCTCGCAAGGCGGGTTCGTGGATGAGCACTGCTGAGGAGGAGTCTCACTATAGGAAGAAACAGCCATCCAGTGCTTCCAGGTTTTCCATGGTGGTCTAGCTTCAATTGACTCATGATTTCAACCAGTGAAATTTCTAAAATCTCCACAAAATCTCTTCTGATATATTTTTCTGTATTGAATAAACCCATTATATAACTGAAATATTTTACACTGAATAATGACTACCTGAGTAACACTTCAGGTCTCATTTTTGTCTAGTCCATATTTGCCGACTGAATTCTATCAATCAGTTTTATAATTTGGTTACTAGTCTATATGACCGGATAATCGTACGCCAAAATAGTTTACTAAAATATTCTAGAAAATATTTCTATTATATATTCACTTCAGTTATAGGCTAAATAAGTATCATATTGATTTGAATGCTTGGAATGCTCTATTATTATTAATATGACTTGAAAGATTCAAATAGAATATCCATGAAAATAATGAATGGATTGAGAAGATATTAACTATATAATGAACTGATGATTTCCGATTATTGTTATGACATATAACCTAGTAATGATAATGAGAACACAACTAATAAACTTTTAACATTGTCACAAATTGAAATCATGAGTCAGTTGAAGCTAGACCACCATTGAAAACCTGAAAGCACTGGACGGCCGTTTCGTCCTAGTATGGGACTCCTCAGCAGTGCGCATCCACGATCCCGCACCACGCGGGGCTCGAACCCAGGACCTACTGGCTTCGCGCGCGAGCACTTAACCACTAGACCACTGAGCCGGCATCCAACGGTGTTAATGTCTAGCTTCAACTGACTCATGATTTCAATCTGTGAAATTTCTAAAATCTCCACAAAACCCATTCTGATAATAATAATCAACTGCTCACTAGTGATTGACTTCAGGAAAAACTCCCGAAGTTCTAGTGAGAAGCCGTTACCAGTGGAGTTCAACCAGGTCTGTTATGAGATATCAACTCACTGAAGACAATGGTGTGCGGTGGCGTAACTTCGTGGATTGGTTGAGGTTAGACATTAACACCGTTGGATGCCGGCTCAGAGGTCTAGTGGTTAAGTGCTCGCGCGCGAAGCCAGTAGGTCTTGGGTTCGAATCCCGCGGGGTGCAGGGTCGTGGATGCGCACTGCTGAGGAGTCCCATACTAGGACGAAACGGCCGTCCAGTGCTTGCAGGTTTTCCATGGTGGTCTAGCTTCAACTAACTCATGATTTCAGTCTGTGAAATTTTTAAAATCTCCACAAAACCCATTCTGATTTTAACATTGTGCCAAATTAATGATTTGTTAACTAAGGATATAAGAAGCCTAGAGTCTTTATTGGTCATGCTCTTACTCATACTCTACCTGTTGAATCCAAAATAGTGATTATCAGCTTCTATTATATGAATCATATAATTCAGTTATACTTTGATTGTAGACAAGCAAACCTGAATATATCATACTATAATATAATATAACAATTGTGATAGGATCAAGACAAAAAGTGACTATGTATGTGAGATATTGTAACTAATGAATTGGAAATGACTAAAGAATAGTAAATCGTATAATAGGAGTCAACGGGTCAAATGGAAGCTTATAATAAAAGGAATCTATATATAATCTAGTTACTGAACAGTGATGCAATAAGAATTTATTTCACTGTATTATACTTCTTGAATAACATCTTCAAGCCCTACTGTTTCCGATTACTGCTTATACTTTTATTACCTCTAGCACTACGGGATTTGAATCGACAACTGAATCTCTGTGCTAATGTGGTGTGACAACTCGAACTGATGTACGTACGTACAAAGTTCTTCATTGTTACTGACTGACAATAAAAATATACAGACCATAAACAGATCCCAAAACTACCCATAATTTAATCTTCGTTAGGATATAACAGTTATTAGTAGTTATAGATTTATCTATTTTGAACACACAGATATTGGTACAAGGGGGCATCATATTACATATGCACCACAGAAATCTCATTTGCTTTGTGTAAGGACTGTGATACTGCCGGGGTGCCCAAACCGAAGCAGAGTTATAAGTAGTGATATATCAAATTTTTTTTTATAATTTTCAGCACAAATAACATGCACAATACATGTTAATGGGAACATATCAATTTTCTTTGAAACAGTAAGTTGACCAATTATTGAAATATTCTATTTCCTTTAATAAGAATCATTTACCATAATTTTCTGCAAAATTTAAGCTTGAGAATAACATTGATGTGTGACAGAGAGTTATCAGAATGGGGATTTTAGTAATTTAATAATTGAATTTATGAGTGATCATGGAAAACCTAGAAACACTGAACGACCGTTTGGTCCTAGTGTGGAAATCCTCAGCAGTGCGCATCCACGTTCCCGCTATCGGGATTCGAACTCAAGACCTATCGGTCTCGTGCGCGAAAGCTTAAACTGTAGACCAGTGAGCCAGTATTCAACAGTGTTAATGTCTAACTTCAATTAATGCACGAAATTGAGCCACTGTCCATCTTTGTCTTCAGTAAGTTACTATCTCACAATAGAGCTGGTTGACCTCCATGAATTACGGCTTCTCACTAGAACTCCGGGAAATACCTCTGCTAAACGTTCAGTAATATTAACTTCACTTGGTATTGTTAATTTGACTCTTCCACCGCTATCCACCATCCATCTTTGCTTATAATGATTGTGACTTAAGGTAATATCGAGGCAGCCCGCACAGGATGCATATATGCTAACGAAAAACTGGTCAAAAGCAGTCCTAAATAACAGTGGAAAGATTCAAGTTAACAATATCAAGTGAATTTGAAAGTTCAGTCCTAATACACAAGCAAGTGGCTATCAGGACTCAGTAGCTAAGTAGACAGAGTTTGAAGTAAACGATACTGGGTTTGAGTTGCACAATGTACATCAACTCTGAGATGCAGGTACGTCCAGTTGACGAGTTCCAGGTAGGACGAAACGCGAGTCAAACTGGATTCCACTGCTAACCATTATCCATCATTGCTTAGAAGAATAATAATAATTATTGATTAATAGTTATGAATATAATTATAAGTTAGTAGGAAGAATAGAATAAAACTAAAATGATAGATCATATGATATAGAAAAGGAACATGGAAAGAACATGGAAAATGAGTAACTAAGCATAGTATAATCAGATAGACGTTTTATGGATATTATAATAATTTATTGGTTAAATTCATGAGTTGATTGAAGCTAGACCACCGCGGAAAACCTGGAAGCACTGTATTGTTATTTCGTTCTAGTATGTGATTCCTCAACAATGCGCAACCACGAGCATAGTATGTTTGTACTCAAAAGTTAGGGTTAAAATGTTGGTTACCAATAACCTCTGATGTACATAAGTTTTTCACTTACATTCCTATTGAGCCAATTCTTCTGATTGTATATAATCATTTTGATAGAGGCTTCTGATGTAGTGAAGTAATAAGTTTCACTGGTTGAAATCATCAGTCAATTGAAACTAGACTACCATGGAAAACCTGAAAGCACTGGACGTCCGTTTCGTCTTAGTATAGGACTCTTCCTCAGCAGTGCGCATTCACGATCTTGCTCCCTACGAGATTCAAACTCAGGACCTACTGGTTTCACGCGCAAGCACTTAACCACTAGACCACAACCAATCCACGAAGTAATAAGATGAAAATCATTGTCCTTTTGATCACTATAAACAACAGAATAATAAAAAAATGATAAAACAAACAAAAATAATAAACTGTAAACAGGTAAAATAAATAAAAGAAAAAAACAAAAAACTTTTTTTTTGTTGTTTTGGCAAACTTATATTGAATGTCACTTGCATACTTACTTACCTACGCCTGTTACTCCTAATGAAGCATAGGCTGCCGACCAGAATTCTTCAACTCACTCTGTCCTGGACCTTCTTTTCTAGTTCCATAATGAATGTCATCAATGTTCATTTATTGTTTTTCGCTTTTTATTACTTAAAGTTAATTAACATCTAATGACATTTATGAACTGTCATTAAAATCATGAAGCCTAGTTTAATGAATTAAGGTCTTAATCAATCATATTATACTCATAATACATAAACATTAAACAATAATATGTGGGATGTATTAATGAATATAAATTCTTTATAATAAAAACTGAGTTCATCTTTGTTTATTAATGATTAATTAGGTCATAGTTACTGTATTATGTAACTAAGGTGAATCTAACTTAATTGGCATACAAATTTGTCTTATTCATAATTTCTTTTTTTTTCTTTTTTTGTTTTGATTTTTATGAAACAATTTTTATCAGTATGAGGTTAAGTTTTTGATTGACACCATGAACTAATTGACGTTAGACCATCATTGAAAACATGAAAACATTGAGCGGCTGTTTCATCTTCGTATGGGACCCCTCATCAGTGTGCATCCACGATCCCACTCGGCGAGATTGGAACCCAAAGGTCTTCGGTCTCGCGTACTCAATAATGACTAGCTTTGTGTAGGAGTTCTTGGAGTTTTAGTGTGAAGCTGTGATTAGTAGAGTTCAACCGAGTCTGTTGTGAGAAGACAATAATGGACGGTGATGCAACTTCGTGGAATGGTTCAAGTTAGACATCAACACCGTTGGATGCTGGCTCAATAGTATCAAGGTTAAGCGAACGCGAGGGAGACTGATAGGTCCTAGGTTCGAATCTCGCGAAACAGGATGGTGGACGTGCATTGCTGAGGAGTTCTATATTAGGACGAAATGGCCGACAAATGCTTCTAGGTTTACCATGGGGGTCTAGCTTAAATCGATTCATGAATCCAACCATGAAAATGAAATGTTCTATACGGTCAGGGTTAAACATATTTCCAATTAACCGTTGTACAACGCATTATTTTCTATTTTAATGGTTTAAACTAATTTTACTATGTCACTAATCATTCATTTGTGTTAAAATATTCAGTTATTAATCCATTTCTTTTAATTCATTATTTATATATTTCTATTTATCAGATACCGAATGGAACATTTAATGAAACAGAAGAATCTATGCCTGGAAGTACTATATATTATCCAACGAAAATTCAAAGTAGGTTGAATTTCATATAAGAGAATCAATGGAATATTGATGATAATTTTATTCAATCCTTTATGTTTAATACATTAGAGAACTCTAAGTAGATGAAATCTGAAAAAGGTTCTTCGAAATCTTTATATTTATATATGTATACAACATCAAAGTGAAGATCTTCAATACGAACGTCAAGGCAGTTCTACTGTACAGAGCTGAAACTTGGAGAACTACAACAACCATCATCAAGAAGGTGCAAGTATTTATAAATAGCTGTCTACGCAAGATACTCAACATCCATTGGCCGGATACCATCAGTAACAGCCCAGTTTGGGAGAGAACAAACCAATTTCCAACTGAAAAGGAAATTAGGGAAAAACGATGGAAATGGATAGGATATACATTACACAGATCATCAAACTGCATCACGAGGTAAGCTCTAACTTGGAATCCTGAAGGGAAGCGGGAAAGTGGAAGGTCAAAGAACACATTACGTCGGGAAATAGAATCAGATATGAAAAGAATGAATTACAACTTGAAAGAGCTGGAACGTATTGCCCAGGACAAGATTGGATGGGGAATACTGGTGGGTGGATTATGCTCCTTCACGAGGAGTAAGAGGCTTAAGTAAGTCAGTAAGTAATAAAAGCTAGAAATCATTTTCGAAGGATTGGAGAATAAAATTTACATGGTAATGTTTAGTTGTTGTTTTAGGACTGTAATTGATCAGTTTCGATACTCGTAAGTTACTAGTATTTGATCACAGATGCCTTAGAAATATTGCTGGCGTCTGCTGGGATCACCGGGTAAGTAATAGTGAGATTCGACAAAGGCTATTGGGGAATGATGGTAAATCAGTTGATGAGGTTGTAAATCCTCATCGACTGAGATGGTTGGACCACGTGTTACGTATGCCCGAATACTGATTACCACAACGTACAATGCTAACCGGTGTTGGAGATGGTGGGAAGAAAGTTAGGGTGGGCGGCCAAACCAAGACGTGGCATCAGTGCTTGAAGTCACTAATGGTAGTCTGAGTCATGTTGGTAGATACTACTAGACTACTTGGTTGTGGTCCGTGTGACTGTCGTAACCAATGGTTTGAGACTCTGTGTGACATGGCTCAGAATTGGTCACAAAGGCGTAGGTGTATACACTCTCTATCTTCCCTTAAACTATGAGATTAAAATCGTTTCATATCTTTCTTCCTACGTATTAGTTCTTTCTTCCTGTTCTATATCCTTATTGCAATCTTTCTTTTATATATTACCACCTCTGAATTAACTACTTTTATGAACCCGGTGTCCATCTTGTTGTGTTAATGAGGTATGGCAACTTGGACCGATGCACATATGTGCCTTGTCCTACGTTGTAGCTGACTGACTGAGTTAGATGATATTTCATAGGATCATTCTTAAATTAATCAAGATCACTCTTATACTTTAGTTCTATCTAATTTTATTTGTGTCTTATTATATTAGATGGTATTTTACACTAAATGAAAGACTTGACTATGATTACTTTACTTACTTACGCACGTCTGTTACTCCTCTTTGGAGAGCATAGGCCACCCATAAGCACTCTACATTCAAGTCTGTCCTATACCGCCTACCACCAATTTGTTTGATGCACAAATGATAGTTACTAGAAATACCTAGTGATGATATGCAAAAATATAATCAAACTATGAAAATTTATTTATGAATCCTTCACAATTGAATATTCAACTGTAAGTTTTAAAGTGATTTACATTTCCTTGTGAATTCCTTCTTTATACTGTAGTAATTCATATTCATATTCATATGATTGTGCTTCTTTGACTTTTTTTTTTATAGATTATGCCTATTCACCTCATTACAAAAACACTGCGATAAAAGTTCCTGCATTCTTGATAAAGTCGAACACCTTAATGGAATTTATACCAGATCCAAGTAGGTGGAGTTAAAACGAATTATTGATTTTTAATTATATGATTATCGCTTCGTTTTTATCATTAGGTGAACAAAATCTAATTGATTTTCTTACATTCGTTTAAATGTCTATTAAGATTAAGTTTGCATCATTGATGTAGGGAGGTATGTAACTCGTGAACGTGCTCCATGGTTTAGTTCTGATTTGTTCTTCTTCTTCTTCTTCTTCTTCTTCATATCCCGTTACAATAAATGAATTCTTGTTTCACAATTAATCCATTTAAATATCAAACTGTTAATCTCAACCTGATACATGAATAGTACTTAAGCACCTTGTTGGAATCACATAGACTTTGTAGCATAAGAGATTATGTAGTAAAAACAACGTCAAAGATCTTCTCATATTTTATTGTTATCGAAGAAAATTTTCCGTATGACTTACTACATAAAAAGGCTGCATAATTTTGGGATTATTTGACATTTACCTTAACGATTTGTCGATTCTTCAATATTACCCATTATACTTTACTGTTCTCCATTATCCTTTCTCGGGCTTTTGAGATAAGATTTTTCTGTATTGTGAAAAGGGCTAAAGGCAGTTAGCAAGGTGTATCGCGATTCTTTTAAGGTCATTAATAATATATAGTTGTGGATGGTCATCTAAAATCTTGAAAACTGCTAGTAGGTGTTGTCAGATACCAAACGTCAACTTCATTTATGTCTTTCTCCATGTATATCTTCTAGTAGAAGAACGAGATGTCAATACATTAGAATCCATGCACGCAAGCTAAAGTATGAAACTTCTACAATACTTTATGTTGTAAAGACACTACGTGTAGAACAGGTTGTAAGAGTTGACCTAGACAATAGTCTGTATTCTCAAACATGTTTCTAATTAAAAGTTGTACAGACTTTTGCCTTATTAAAATAACGTTTAATTCTAGACAGCTCATTCACTTACTTCATATACACATGTATGTAATCATCGACTATTGGAATCATTTTGGTAAAAGAAATTTGTTGAACTATTGTGTGCCGAGGGTTTCATATCGTGATAAACATAATACTGAAATCTATTATTATTATAATAACCCTAATACCACTACTGTAGGGAATGAGAACAGCAATGGATTACAGAATTTCTTGGTCAAATCTGAGAACCATACAGTAAATACTTCATTTGCAAATAATTCATCAATTATATCAAAATTTGTTGTTCCTTCGTTTCCATACCAATTATTCTCTGTTCTCCTTCTCTTCTCGATTTCCTCAACTTTCTGTCTCCAAGCATTCCACTCTCGATTGGTGATACATACTACTTATATCTGCTAACATCAGTAGCACAAACCATACTACTGTTACTGATGGTAATAATAATAATAATAATAATAATAATAATGATAATTATAATTATTATTACTATGAAAAGTAGTTTTGCATGTTATTATTTTTATTATTTAAACACATAAACATTAGTACAAGGAGGCACCAAGTAGATATGCGCCACATAAATCATTCGATTTGTGTGAAGGCTGTGATACTGCTCGAGTGCCCAGACCGAAACAGGTGGTTTTCTTAGGGAGCCACACTCCGAGCCTTCGACCTGAAGGTCTGATCCACAAGGCAGTGGAGCATCGTGAGGAGATGCAGTCCCATAGTATCCGGTGACCAACAATTGGTTCATACGCGATTTGTTCCCTCAGGATACTGGAGTCCATATGCACCATTGGTTTGGAATCCGGTTAAAGCACCGGACATTCGCTTTTCATCCTCTCAATTTCGTAAACAACACCCCCGCCACAACAAGGCAATGAGTATGACTTCCCTGGCAGAGGCTATATACGCGTGGCCATGTGAGAGCATTTCAAGAGGGAGAACGGACTCTCCCCACTCTCGACCGTACCAGGCATCTAACTGTACACGATCCGAAAACCTTATTGGTACATAAATGTCAATTATCAATAATACTGTTTATAATTAACTGTGATCACTCTATTTAACCTTGTTTTTATTCCATCCATATTTTTACAGTCACATAAATATTGTATCAAATAAGACAGAAACATACTTTAATTAGGTATTCAAATTAGGTTTGGAAAATTTAAGATTTTAATAATGTCAGTAATTGTCTTATAAGTATTGGGTTGTGGAGATTAATGAGTTTAGATTGATACCATGAATGAATCAATGTTAGACCGCCATTGAAAACCTAAAAGCACTGGACCACCATTTCGGCGTATTATGGGACTCCTCAGCACTGTGTGTACACGGTCCCGCACACAGTTTTTGAACCCAAGACGTTTGGTCTCGCACGTGAACGCCTAATTAATGATGCTTAAACAATAATAATAATAATAATAATGAATAAAAATTACAAATTTGTTGTTGTGGTAGTGAGTCAGAGATTGGACAAACAGATTTTAGTAATATCACTTTATCCACAATTTAATCACAAGACAGATCTATTACTGTACGGAGCGGAAACGTGCAGAACTACCACAACCATTATCAAAACAGTACAAGTATTTATAGACAATTGTCTACACAAGATACTCAATGTCCGTTGACTGGATACCATCAGCAACAGTTTACTGTTGTACAGAACAAACCAGCTTCCACCTGAAGAGGAAATTAAGAAAAGACGTTGGAAGTGGATAGGACACACATTACGGAAATCACTAAACTGCATCACGAGGCAAACGTTAACTTGGAATCATGAAGCAAAACGACAAAGAGGTAGGTCAGTGAACACACGGCGCCGAGAATTGGAAGCAGGTATGAAAACGATGAATAGGAACTGGAAAGGATTTTTCAGTACAAAGTTGGTTGGAGAATGCTAGTGGGCCACCTATACTCTTTCATGCCGGATAATAGGCGTAAGTATGTCAGTAAGTATTGTCGCTAGGTCCAAAATTATATGACACTTCCACAAGTTTCAATGAGCATAACACACAAATTCACTTCGAAAGCCTCATTTACCATAAAACAAATGGCTTTATCCCTGTATTTAACAAAGAAGTCGAACAACTTAAAACAATCATTGTAAACTGTCACAATCGATATACCAATACAGGGTCAAATACTAAACGACTATTTCTAAGAATATAAATCTCAACTATTGGATCTATTGAGAAACACTGATATAGTGCTGGGTCACCCAGATAAAGGTGCCGTGATTGTCATCGTGAATCGAAATAACTATGTTTTGAGAGTATTTTGTATTCTCTCTGATACCAACAAATTCCTAAAAGAAAAAGTCTAAAAAGTTGCTTCAAGTCAAAGTGAACAGAAATTAACAAAAATCTCTTAGGAAGTAAACAACAAATCAATTACCAATAGAAACTTTAATGAAAAACCTAGACCAACTGGATTCATTATTCCACGACTATATGGCCTACCTAATGTACATAAGAAAGATATCCCTCTACGTCCTGTACTAGATATGAGTAACTCGCCATATCATGCCATCACCAAATAGCTAGCTGGAATTCTTCGATCAGTCAGAAATCAACTAGATAGATACACCACTGGTGATTTGTTTGATGCACTATCAAGTGTTAACGTAACCGGAAAGAAAACGACGTCACTAGATATACCCTCTAGTTTTACAAATGTACCTCCAACGGAAATAAACTGCCTACTATGTGCTTATATTGAAAACAACAGACTCGATATCGGTGTACATTATTTAAAGGAAATACTACTCCAATGCACTCTTGACGTTCAATTTAAATTCGACAATGAGTTCTATAGACAAACTGACGGCAAAGCGATAAGATCACTGCTCGAGCCACTTTTAGCTGACCGTTTTATAGCTAATCTCCAAAACACTATACTAAGGTCATCACTTGACAGCTTCTGTCTATACAAGGATTACTAAGACGACACGTTTGTGACAAAAATATCAATGTCAACGACATCGTGGATGTATTTATTAACTGTCATTAACTAATTAAGTTCACGACTGAATCAAAGTCGTATTCAGATTTCCACTTCTTAAATGTTTTGGTTAAACGATCTGACGGTTCTCTGCAAAGATCAAAATAGAGAAAGCCAATATGAAATGGTTAATACATGAATTTTCAAATTTGGATTACACTGGAAGAAAACAGAAACCTAATCCATTCTCTCTGTATATGGGTTAAACGTATCTGTACCGAAGATACGATCGATATCAAAATTGATAAACTAAGGTAGATACTGATCAATACTGACTATCCACCTTGATTCATTGAAAAAAATCTGAAGTCAAAACAACAACGTGAAAGAGTGTCCACAGCAGCAAAGAAGACTCTCTCCATAAACATCTAGTTTGAAAGTGATACTGCAGCAAAAATTCTGAAAAGTGGACATTCAAAATGTCTAATGAAAACAATTTAGTCGCCCTGTAATTCGAAATTGTGCGAAGATTAAACTCCCACTTTGAGCTATTTAATGGAAAACTATTCACAACTTACCACTTTTTCACTAGACGATTGCATGATCGTACATTATAAGTAAATGAAATTGGTGAAAAAGAGATTTTATTCACCGGACAGTCTTCTTATTCATTCAGTAGCACAATACTCTATCTCATGTAAAATCGTATAAACAGTTTACTATTAAACTACATATTGTGAATGAATATAATATTTAGGTTATATAGGCGAATAAAACAATGATGATATTAATTAAACTCAATATAAGAATATTTAAAAACAAACAGAAATTAGATACTAATCAACATATTCTCACTGGTGACTGGTTTCAAAATGTATATCCTGGAGTTCTAGTGAGCAGCAGTGACCAGTAGAGTTCAACCAGGTCTTTTGTGAGACGGTAGCTCACTAGAGACAATAGTAGATTTGTCGATCAATTTCGTGGATTAGTTGAAGTTAGACATTAACACCATTGGATGCCTACCGGCTCAGTGGTCTAACAATTAAGCGTCCGCGCACGAGACTGATAGGTACTCACGAGACAGGATCACGGATACGCACATCTGAGGAGTCCCACAATGGGAAGAAACGGCCGTCCAGTACTTTCAGGTTTTCTTAGGCAGTCTATCTTCGATTGACTCATGAGCTCAACTATTGAAGAGATAAAATGAAATTAAAAAATAATAATAAAAAACGAGAAAAAAAAAGAAAATCAAAAAATCCATAAAAAACAAATAACATAATTCACATATAAAACATTATAAGAATTAAAGTTGCATTAAACACCTATTGACAAAGAACTGCAAGGTCTCGTAAATAGTCCATGTAGTTTATATTGACACTATTGTAATAAGTGTTCACAAAGAAAAATCCCTTATCAACACATCTTATTTTTTTTTCATGTTCAAGTTTGCTCTGATCAAACATCATGCGGTGAATGTCTCAAACCAGGTGCATTCGTTACAAAATGTTATTGGTGTCCAAGAACAAGAAAGTGTACTAATACTCATGATAGTTATGCGAGAATGTGGAAGAAAGGAGAGTGTCAAATACAGGTAAGAGATTCGACTTTTACTCTATTGTACCATTAAGTATTATGTTATTCTTTGAAATTAGTTTCGTCACATTGTTAGCCTATAATTGGTTCTATTGAAAATACGAATAACTTACTGACTCTATTAAAATTTTATGTGTCTATACTTTGTATCAGTGTTTATAGAAAATCTTCGTTGTTTCACTTCAATATCTTTTAAAACAAGGAATCTGTGTAACTTTCTTCTTTTTAAGGCTAAATTGGTATAACTTTTCACTCAATTTCATCATAGAGATCATTTATATTTCCACAAAACAACCATATTTTGTAATATTTACTGACTAGCTTAGAAATATCAGTAGAAAATGATTGGCGTGCACACAATTCGTGTGATTAAAAAATTGACGGATAAATCTAGGAAGAACTGTACACACATAAAAGTGGACGGAGAGAAAGACACGACTTATCAACTTTGGGTAAACCTCATAGTCGTCGTGTACTCCATCCAGTTGATTTCAGCGAACCATGTAGTGCAGATAAAGATGTTGACGACGTTTAGGTGCTTCAAAATGTTTGTAAGCATACTGTGAAATCTTGAAACCTGCTGACTAATATCATGTGACGAGTCACTAATCAGAATGCTACTTCTAAATTGATCTGTTATCTACTCTATAGATTGGTGTCTCTGACTCGATCTATTGTAAGCCCGACCAGCACTAATGACTTTGACACGTTGATTGCCTTTCTATCGATCCAGCAACTTCCGTCACGTTTCTAGACCACATTCTCAGCACATACACCGCAATCAAGTTATATTTACAATCATTTTCAATCTCCGATTCTCTGTTTGTTCAGCGGTCAGTCTAGAAACATATTCTACAGTTAACAGACATAATAGCATATCATCTATTCAAATTCCACTTACTGTCCAGTGAAATAAAAAGCCTTCTAGAAATCTTCACTAAAGTAGTACTTAAACAGGGATTCAATAGAGAACATGTAGTGGGCACGCTACGTTTCCTCACAGATTACAAACATTATTTACTTTCACATGTTACTGCCAATGAGGCATAGACCGCCGACCAGCATTACCCAAACCACTTTGTCCTGGGCCTTACTTTCTAGTTTTATCAAACTCGATAAAAAAACGCTAACCAAAAAAAGAAAATAATTCACATTTACAACCAAACAAAGTCGTATATTGTTTATTAGCGATGACTCCTTTGAAATGTAAATCATATGGCTACATTGTTTCATTTTCTAGAATAGTGAAAATTGCACTGTTCAGAACGATATTCGAACTAATCCGATTCAAAATATCATCAGTACAGCAAAATCCTCGATCAGAAGAACTAAACCTACAAATCTCACACAGAAAATTATAAACAACAAGTTATCAGAACGCGTACCCAATACGACTACTGTTCAAGTAATTCAAGTTAATAAAACATTGAGTATTCAACTAGGCAATATGTTTTTTATACTTCAACATGTGATTGATAGTTCGTATATAATCTTATGGATGTTAGCGGCTCTATTTATTATTCACTTTATTGTTAGGTTTGAAGCTGCCATGAGTTCGCTTAATCTGCAAACGAGATGCAAGACTCGTGACCAAAGATCAGTGCGCTAGCTATTGATGTGTCCCAGCCCCGCTAACTAGAGGGAGACGTCCAAGCTTGGAATGAGAAGTATATTTTGCAAACAGCCAGAAACGAGCGATCACAACAAAGACAATTCAAGACGTATATATACAAATATATATGTAATCGATATTGCCATGGAAGTTTTCTAAACATTTAATCGATAAGTTCGTCAATCGACTATGTGCGTGGGTGGTAATAAATGCCCAAACATACATCTGCATACAAGCTCCACAAAGATAAAATTACAAAACATGAGTTTTGGAGATCTGTCGTCCCGAACAATCCTTCCCTTTTTAATAGCGTTTTTTCATGCGGTCAACTTGGATCTTGACTGTTGCTCGCCGCTTTTGGAGAGGCCACATTCTGAAACAGAGATCGGCTTGTTGTTGAGCTTCTTCTCGTGGTGAGGCTGCTGATAAGTTGAAGGTATCAAGCAGGATGTCAAGGGGGAAGATTTACTCCTGTTGATGGGCGGTCTGGGGCTATCCGCTTCCGTAGTTGGTTTCCGTGTCTAGTCCACGTGTCACTTCCCACCTTTACCTCGTACATAACTTGGCCTATTCTTCCAACCACACGTGCTTCGATCCAAGGACCGTGATTCGCTCTGTAGTCTCGAGCAAACACCGGGCATCCAGCCTCGTACGCTGGTAGCTTCTGAGATTTGGTCTGAGATGGTGTGGTTCTTGATCACATCAGACTGTGGATTGTCCACAAATTCCTTCCCATCAGGATCTCTGCCGAGGACTTCTACTGTGGTAGCATCATCCTGGTTAGCAAAGTGAAATCTGAATAAGTCTTAGTAACGTCGAAACCACATATCAAACGTGACATTGGATTCCGGATCGTAATGAAACTCGGAGATACTGTTAGCGATACCATCAACTAATGGTGCGGTAATAGTAGGATTAGGATTACTTGGTTGAGTATTAGACGTAAGCTTTGTATCTGTCAACGTCTAAATAAGTTTCATCTGCTGCTCGAGTAATAATTCAAGTTTAGAAGAATCCATGTTTTCGAAACCACATTTACCACCATACCAAGTCGTATATTGTTTATTAGCGATGACTCCTTTGAAATGTAAATCATATGGTCACATTGTTTCTTTTTCTAGAATAGTGAAAATTGTACTGTTCAGAACGATATTCTAACTACTCCGGTTCAAGATATCATCGGTACAGCAAAATCCTCGATCAGAAGAACTAAACCTACAAATCTCACACAGAAAATTATAAACAACAAGTTATCAGAACGCGTACCCAATACGACTACTGTTCAAGTAATTCAAGTTAATAAAACATTGAGTATTCAACTAGGCAATATGTTTTTTATACTTCAACATGTGATTGATAGTTCGTATATAATCTTATGGATGTTAGCGACTATATTCATTATTCACTTTATTATCCTTTTCAATATATTATGTAATCTATTATAACTTTCATACTTCTTATCAATGATTTCTTTGTTATCACGATATTTTATTCCGAATTTATTATTCTTATTTATTCACTTATCCACTGTATGCTCTGAGAAGTTGTATGTTTCTAGGGAAATGTTCGTCTTCATTATTTGATTTGTACATACATGATTATTATTAAACAGGAATTAGATAGATTTCCATCAGAATAGTGAATGAATATGTTATGAATGCAGAATAATGTGCCAATCATTATCATGTTAAGCCTAGTGATGACATTTCCTATTGGCCATTATTTATTTCATCCGTTAAATATTGTACAAATGTTGTTTTCTATTTTTATGGTACGATGTGGTCTGTTTGATTAGTATATAAATAGAGTATGTCTGAAATATAATGATTCATATCTCAGAGGTTGTGACTTGTGTTCTGGACTCAACTGACTGAGCTAGATAGGGAAGCGAGAACAATCGAGACTCTAGGCCGTCCGTACGTGTTTACGTGTCATTGGATCGATCGATAAATACGCTGCTCTCTAGTTGTTTTCAGTCAAGGACACAACAATTAGCACAGGGTAAAAATCGACCCAACTTAAAGTCATAACAGAATGATAAGATGAATTAAAGACAGATGGCAAAACTAAATGACAAGAGATTCAAACGTTTTGTGAAATATGTAAAAAGATAACTGTTAAATTTTGCACAATATTTCAAATTGTTGTTGTGTCCCAATAAGCATAATGAGTGGTCATTTTTTGGGATCTATTTATGGACCAATAGTGTGCGTATATTTTTGTTGTATAATTCTCAATTAACTAAACTATTCATATTCATGTCTCTCTTACTATGAGCTTTATTTTAACCTGTGAACTGTTATTATACGATTTTCCATTCTTGAATTATTCCCTGTCTATTAATAACTACCTCCCACATTCACGGCCACATTTGGCCAAATCTTGTACAAAATGTTGTTTTCTATTTTATGGTACGTTGTGGTCTGTTTGATTGGTATATAAACAGAGTATGTTTGAAATACATGATTCATATTGCAGATGCTCGGATTGGTGTTCTGGACTTAACTGGCTGGGCTAGGTGGAAAGCAGGACCAATCAAGACTCTAGATTGGTCACACGTGTTTTACGCGCCCTTGGTCCGATCGATAATTCGCTGCTCCCTAATTGGCGGTTACAAGTCATAACAACTGTTTAACTATATCAATTTTTCGTTCACTACCATGTAATAAACCTGTGACTTTTCAGACCTGAATTTTACAATTAGTTAATTCTACTAACATTTTGTAGTGAAAGAGAAAACAAGTGAAGACAGTCGATTATATATAGCACAAAATTACAGAGCTACTTAGTAAAATAAAAAATTCACACTTCAAATACTTCATTTGCAAAATGTTTATTAATTGTCTCAGATTTCATTGTTCCTGCATTTCTGTACCAATTGTTTTCTGTTCCTGTTCTTCCCTTCTTGATCTTATCAACCTTTTGCTGCCAGACATTTTATTCCTGACTAGCGTTATATACTACTTATGTCGATATAAGTAGCACACACTACAATTCCATTAGCCAGAATTTATCTTTTTGCACACAAATTCTCGTAATTAGCTCATATTTTTGCTACATATGGATAAAACCCTCAATAGATAAACACCTGGCTTCCGTCCAAATGTCATATTATACATCCCTAAAGTCTTTTATTTCAAAAAATTCTCGCAAAATTCGAGCATGACATTGTACTGATTAGGCAGCTGCTTAATCAACTCATGCCTCAAAATATGACCGGGGTCACCTTGCTAAAGGTGTACAGACTAGGGAGTCTAGCGGACTCGAAACCAAATCATTCCAGACTGCTTCAAGTAGTATTCAGCTCTTCGAACGAACGTGACCTAATTTTACAGAATGGATACAAATTAAAGGGTTCAGGAGTCTTTATCCGAAAAGACTTACCGTTTGCAGACCGTGTTAAAAGACGAGAAGCCGAGAAAGAACTACAACTTAGGTTAGACGCTGGCGAAAAGGACATAAAAATTGTAAACTTTCAGGTTGTAAGACTTCGACAGAGCCGAAGCCACTCTGGGTGAAGCACGAAGGCACTTACACAGGCTTCGGATCTGTTACACCAATGCACGAAGCTTACTTAATAAGCGATCGGAACTAGGTGTACAGATTGACTCTACAAAGCCAGACATAATCGCAGTTACAGAAACCTGGCTGACACAGGCTATAGATAGTATGAAACTTGATTTCGAGGGTTTTACGTTAGTAAGAGCCGACAGAACACAAAAGCGCAAAGGAGGGGAGTAGCTCTATTCGTTAGGAATGCTATCCCATTTGCGATTATCGATGGTGTATCCCATGAGAGTGGGACGTGTGAATTAGTTAGTTGCCGCTTGAAATGCAAGGGACAAGAGCTGCTGATTGGTTTGGTCTATCGCAGTCCAAGCTGTGAGGTAGATGAGATCCTGTTAAGCAGTCTCAATACTTGGTCCCAAAGTGGTCGATGTCTAATCCTAGGCGACTTCAATGTACCTATGGTAGACTGGGAAAATCTGCGAACTAATTATCGGAGAATTCCTTCGAGCAGGAACTAGTTGATGGGGTTATCACATGTGCCTTAGTGCAACATGTGAAAGAAGCGACAAGGTACGATCCGGACACTGAATTATCCTTATTAGATCTTATACTGACTCACTATGAGGATGCGAACCTCCATCATATGCCACCCCTAGGTAAAAGTGATCACGCAGTTTTAACTTTTGACTTCCATATAACTGCCAGTCATGAGCACGCGTCAGTCCAGTCCAGACCCAACGTCTGGAAAGCAAACATACCAGACATCATGCACTCAGCATCATTAATAGATCGAACAGTAAACCCAGAGTCCTCCATTGAAACGGCCTGGAACGCATTTCGAAATTCATACTTAAAAGTTACCACACCCCACATCCCTTGGACTATACCAAGGGGTTCGAGAAACTCCTCACCATGGTTCAGTCTGGATGTCCTCATTCTTCTCCGTAAGAGAAGGAAAATGTGAGATAGATTTAGATTACTATGGACCGATGAGACAAAATCTCAGTATCGAAAAGCTCGGAATTCTTGTACCTCGACCCTCCGCAAGTCTAGAAAGTTGTACGAAGAAAACATTGTTAAGGAACCCATAGAATGTCCTAAACGCTTGTATTCCTATATAAACCAAAGGACAAGGAGAAAAGAGAATATTCCTGCTCTATGGGGTGACAGTACTGCTTCATCATTAGTGGAGGACGACTTTGGTAAGGCTCAAGCGTTCTCGAACTACTTTAGCAACGTATATACCATAGAAGCGCCCTTCCCGTCAGCATATACAGATCCCCATACATGCAATGGATAGCGTGACCATTAAAGAACTCGATGTCTTTGGTCTGCTAAATAAGCCTGACATAGGTAAATCCGCGGGGCCCGATGAATTACATCCTAGGCTACTGAAGGAATTATCTAACTTCGTTGCAAGCCCTTTAAATATATGCTATAACCTATCCGTTACGCAGGGTCGTTTACCGAAAGACTGGAAAAATGCCATAGTAAGTCCTGTCTTCCAAACAGGTACGAAACACAAACCTGAGAACTACCGCCCCGTTAGCCTAACTAGTGTGGTTGTTAAAATCTTAAAAAAGATTATTCGGAAGGAGCTTTTAAAGTATCTCGATAAAATCCGGATCCTCTCGGAGAAGCAGCACGGCTTCAGAACAGGTTATTTTTGTCTCACCAACTTATTAGTGGCTCGTGAAAGCTGGTGCGCTCTTAAGGACCAAAAGCTACCAGTAAACGTGGCCTTCACTGATTTCAGTAAAGCTTTTGACAAAGTTCCGCACAACCGGCTGTTATATAAGTTAAGAAAAGTCGGGGTTGGTAGCAATTTATTGATGTGGATAAAAGACTTCTTAGTTGGGCGTCAACAAAGAGTAGGGGTGAACTCAAAGTTATCTAGCTGGGAAACTGTGCTTAGTGGAGTGCCCCAGGGTACAGTTTTGGGGCCAGTGCTATTCCTCTTGTGTGTAAATGACCTTCCTCTTCTAACATCATCATCGGTCTTGCTTTATGCTGACGATGTCAAGATATGGAGAACAATACGATGTAAGAGTGATAGCTTAGAACTTCAAAATGACCTGAAGAAGTTATCTGAATGGTCTCAAACATGGCAGTTGCCGATAAATACTTCCAAGTGTGTTGTGACGCATATCGGTCATCAAGGCACAGATACATACACGATGAATAACACTGAGCTACCTGTCGTCCAGACATATAATGACTTAGGAGTCATCGTTAGTGAAGACTTAAAGACTTCTGCACACTGCCGTGCAATAGCCGTCAAAGGTTTTAGAACCTTACGTAGAGTTTTTAGTCATGTCGACGCTAAGACGTTTTTGACTTTGTATACAGTGTTCTTTCGTCCTAAACCTGAGTACTGCATACTAGCGGCCAGCCCCTACCTAAAAAAGACAGTGAGCTTCTGGAAAAGGTTCAGAGAACGGCAACTAAGCTGATTCCCGGAATAGCTAAGCTTCCGTATGAATCTCGACTGGCCAAGCTGAACCTTTTCCTGTTGTCATATCGCAGAACTAGAGGCGACTTGATTACAGTCTACAAATTGCTTAGTGATAAATTTGCATCTAATATGCCCTCATTTTTCCCGTCTTCCAAAACAGAGAATTCACGAGGACATTCCGAAAAAAGTTAACAAGCCCAGAACAAATTACTTGTCAGCTGACTATCGACTTTCCCATCGAATCATCAACGAGTGGAATTCACTACCTCAGTACGTGGTTGAGGCTCCATCCGTCGACTCTTTCAAAAGAAAGTTGGATCAACTGAGAGACCACTATTGCCAGGACTAACATAGGCCATCAAGCCTCCTGTCCTTCCCAAACTGAAACTGAAAAAGCATTCCAATTGATACTCATTAAGTGTAAAACATCCCATAGTGAACTCACAGCTAATGACTTCACACGTTGCACTGTGATGGGATTCGCAAGCAAAAAGGCGGATATTGTGTTATTGGCTATGTGTAAAAGGACGCCATTTCTTTTCCTATATCTATGTCTATAACTTCCTAGGTAGTAGTATCCGGATAATTCTGGAGTAATGTCGAAATCGTGGACTAATTAAGTTTCTGTCACAACTACTCTGAGTGGCATTAAGTTGTCCACTAATTCCCCTAGATCGTGAAATTTATTTCTTAGACTACGAGAATTTTCATATAAAACTCC